AGTTCCTTCACTTAGCTCAGGAATAGAATTTTAATTATATATTTAATTATATATTAGCTTTGAAAATAATGCAATCAATTTTTTGAGATAAATAGAAAACATTGCGAAACTAAAAGAAGGATAAATTTCAACCATTTTCGCTTTTTTTTTTTTTTTTGTAGTGCTAGGGATCTAAGCCAGGGCGTGCCACACAAATGCTCTACCACTGAACCCCATTCCCAGGCCCCTAGAAGAAACACATTTTAGCCTACAAGATAAGTACCTTTATGATGTAAAGTCTTATAAAAGTCAGATGACTACTGCATACCTCTGGTGGCCTGTTTCTTTCGTTAATTTATAATGAGCACCTTTCTGTGATGTTGCCCTTCCTGCTCAAGAACTGTAAAGAATGCCTGCTCATGATTCCTGACTGCTATCACCCAGGCAGCACTGTCTCCTGTATGTGGGAGAATGACAGTGGCTTGCTGACCTTTTGTACATTTCATGGGAAAACCTCTTGCTGGTCAGAGTATTATTTTTCTGTGTGAATTTTATTATATGTAAATTATATCTCACTGAAAGCAATTTGCCTAGACATTCTTTTTGAAAGTCTTTGACCTGAAACTCAAGAGGCACACATTCAAACATAGATGAAATAACATTTCTCTCTGCACATTAAAAATATAATTACAGTGATTTGATCTACATATTGAGTTTATCCAGAATTGCGTTGTCCAGTATGGTAACCGTCAGTCGCTTGGGTTTGTTCAAATGTAAATTAATGAACAATAAAATAATAAAAGTTCTTCAATGGTATTAACTAACGTCAAGTGTTCAGGGCCTGCTACAGGAAGTTCTTTTGGACAGCCTTCATCTAAAATTTCTCAGAAGGAAAGTGCTTTCTTTTTCAGGACGAAATGAACTAAGATATTAATTTTCTGTTCTGTCCATCCCTACACCAGATGCGGTGAGAGTATTTAGAAGTAGCATGAAAGTGTGGTGGTGGAAACTTACACCTTTGAGCTCTTCATAAGTTTATACAGAGACAAATGTGGTTCTTCTAGAGAGTTCTTGGTTCAAACAGGGTAGTTAGAGGAGGAAGGAACTATTGCCGTCCAGTGATCTGTGTAGGTCTCTGGAGTTGTGATCTGATTAAATATCAAGGAATCTGCATGGAGGCAGATGGAAGGGCAGACGTTAACTGATGTTTGCCTCAAACATCAGCCCTTGCTATCTGTGAGTCTCAATTTTGTGACTTTATAGATAGGATTATTATTATTATTATTATTTGGTATCAGGGATTGAACTCAGAGGCACTCAACCACTGAGCCACATCTCCCCCAGGCCTATTTTGTGTTTTATTTAGAGACAGGGTCTCACTGAGTTGCTTAGGGCCTTCTCTTGCTGAGGCTGGCTTTGAACTTGCAATCCTCCTGCCTCAGCCTCCTGAGCCACTGGGATTACAGGTATGTGCCACATGCCTAGCTAGATAGGATTATCGATTACATGAAAATGACACATTTAGTGTGGACTTTCCACAGTTAAACATAAACTCAGGGTGCAGGTCCTTAAGAGCACTTTGTCTTTGGGACCTCTAGAGCAACTGATGTGAAGAGCTCAGGCACCCTGGCGGGCTGTCCTGGCTTGTGAGCTAATGTCTCCTCTATTTGTAGTTTTTATTTTTTGAATGTCTCAGGATACAACCACTAGCCTTTGCCGTGTTTTTTGTGTCCATTTGTTAGAGTTTTTACTAAAAATTGTTAGACAGTTGGATGCAGTTATTCTGCTCTAAAGAGACAAAAATGTGGTGGTGATGATTGATGATGATGATTGGTACCAGAGATTGAACTCAGAGGCACTTAACCACTGAGCCACATCCCCAGCCTTTTTTGGTATTTTATTTACAGACAGGGTCTCACTGAATTGCTTAGGGCCTTGATAAGTTGCTGAGGCTGGGCTTTGAACTCGTGATCCTCCAGCCTCAGCCTTCTGAGCCAGTGGGATTACAGGTGAGCGCCACCTTACCCGGCTTGATGATGATGATGATGATGATGATGATGATGGTGATTGGGAAAGCCTATGAAACATTAGTATGTAATTGGGAAGAATTTGGATTAAACCTTTTGTGTGTTTTACTTCCATCCATTGGAGCTTTTGAAGTCACAGGAAATGAGGGGCTCTCCTCCAGGGTCTTCTCTTTGCTATGAAGTGAGGTTGTCCCTGGGAAGGCCGGCATTTCTTGCGAGACATTTTTCAAGCCGAGGGGTGTTTTCCATTTCTGTAGGTGGGCATGCTTTAATGTGCGGTTTCAGAGGTCTCAGTTCGTAGAAGGCCAACTCCGTGGCTCTGTGTCTGAGGAGAGGCAGAACATTATGGCGGAAGGGTGTGGCCGAGAAAAGCATCTCAGGACGTGGCAGCACAAAGCAGAGAGAGAGCTGGTCAGATTATTTTTAAGAAGGCTGTGAGTTTCATAGCAGACTCCTGGGCTGGGGAACTGATTTGTAAACCAGCTAATTTACAGAATCTAAGGTGGAAATATTATTTTCTCAGCCCATATTCAGCCTAATAAAAGTCTTGGGGAATAAAAGCTTTTTGAATAAGACAACCCTGGGTTTAAGTCTTAGGTTGGTCAGTTGTTAGCCTTGTGATCTTGGGAAAGTTACTAAACCTCTCTGAGCTGCACGATTCATCAGCTTAAATAAAGTTCATGAGACTTTTTGGATGGGTTGTTGAATTGAGATCTTGTATATAAAGGGTCCAGTCCATAGTGAAGTGTTCAACAAGTATCTCTAAACCAAACCTAGATGGTATCACCAAGCCTTAAAGTAATAAAGCTTAACCAACAAATAAATAAATGAATAACTATTGAATGAGACTAGAATGGAGTGCGGTTGTTTTCTGAATGGACAAAGAACCGGATGGGCATTCTGCTAGGCCTCTGGCCTCTGTGAGTTATGCCTGTTCCTCTCCCAAACTGATCTCCCTTCTGCCATGGAGACTGGAGAGGATGAGAAAGGAACGCACAACCAGTCAGCAGTGCATCAATTGAGCACTTCATGTATACAGTGATCCCCTAGCAGCACCTGAAGGGGTGCCCTTAGCAGAGGACCAACTAGGAGGCTGGGCCAGCATGCACTTGGGAGGTGAGCTGGACTTGCAAGGAGAGGTGCTGGGCACCCAGGACGCCCAGCTCCACGACACTTTGGTCAAGGATTTTGGAGACATCTGAGACAGTTCCCTCCCTTGAAAGATGAGAGCAGAGACTGGAGCAGCACTGAGACTTGCCTGAGGACATTGGGCATCAGCGGAGGTGGCTCACTCCAGCTACCACCTGCGCCCCACGGCCTTGGTGGAGAGCCTGGTTATTATTAAGGGTTTTATTAAAAAATCTTGTCTGCCCTTCATCTGTGAATTCCTTTTTTCTCTGAATTCCTTTTTTGGTTTTTTGTTTGTTTGGTCTTCTGGCTTTCAAGTTCAGACTTTCTCCACCTGCCAGTGTCCTTAGCAGCCAGTCCCTAGAAGGTCACTTGGAAGCTCTGCATTGCTATGCATCAGGAGCTCTCAGCCAGGTTGATCTTTCCCCAGGGGCGTTTGGCAGTGTCTGGATATATTTTGGCTGTCATAACAGGAGAGTTGGGGTACAGTGCTGCTGGCACCTGGTAGCAGAGACCAGGATGTTGCCCACCCTACAGGCACAGGACATCCCTAACAAAGAGCTCTCCAGCCCCAGGTGTCCACAGTGCCAGGAGGGAAAGCCTGTCCCAGGGCTCTCAGATGGCATAGTCCCTTTTGTTCTTTGCTGTGTCCTTTAAGCCTCAGTTTCTTTTCTGATAAATGCATCCCTGGCTAAACCACAGGGGCAGGGTAGGTAGGTGGTCCCTACATTTTGTGGACTTGGTGGGCAGGCTTGCAAGTGCCCCCAGCTGTTTTCAGTGTAAGGTCTCCAAGGAGAACAGAACAGAACTTCTCTGGATCCTCTTGCTATGGGGGCACATGTACTGCATCTGGGGTGGGCAGGTGGAGCGTGTGTGGGCCTGGGAAGGAACCTGCAGGGTGGTGGTAGCAGGGGAGGGTCATCTAGCTGCTCCTTATACAGATTTAACACATCCTTTTGCCTTTAATGCCGTTCTATCTACCCACCTGCTGTGGGCCCCAGCCCCTCTCATGCCTGAGCCTTCCAGAATGTGTGCTACCAATAGATCCTCCTCTTTTGCCTGAGTGTCTGATGCTGGGGATTGAACCCAGGGGGCTCCACTTCTGAGCTACATCCCCAGCCCTTCTTTATGTTTATTTTGAGACAGGATCTCACTAAGTTGCTGAGGCTAGCCTCAAACTTGTGATCCTCCAGCCTCATCACTCAAGTCTCTGGGATTACAGGCATGTGCCGCCATGCCTGGTTCAGCTCTACTTCTTGTAGATAGTTAGGAGTCCATCCTCTCCACCTAAGTTCCTTACCATCTGCTTGTTGCCTTCTAAGATATTGTTGCTAGCCCTTCCACCACCTCCTGTCCATGCCCAGGTCCTTATTATTGCTTTGCTGACGTTTTTGCAGGTTTGGGGAAGTAGAGACACATGTGTTAAGTCCATCAGCTTAGCCCAGGAGCAACCCTTATGCATTGGAAAACTGGCAATTTCATGAAAATCTTTGAAGTATATTTTACCTCACCAGGGGACAAAATACTGGCAACCAGAGCTCTTCCGTTTAAGTCTCTAGAGGCAGGAATCGAGGGATGGCACTATAGTAAAGGTAGAAGAGCCCTCTGACCTTGATCTCACTGAGCCTCAGTTTCCCTGTGTTGAAAATGTGTGGTCTCAGCCCTGCTGGGAAAAGGGAAGTGAGCAGAGGCTGTGGGAGAGCAGAGACGCTGGGTCATCCTCATGGTGGGAATCCTCGCCGTCATCTCCATCAAGTGCATGATCAAGGCGATGTGTCACTTGGACACAAGGACAGAACAAGCCTTGTTAGACAGGCTTAACCCAACAAGTGAGTGTGTGTACCGACTGCCTCGTTTTCTTGCCAGAGGCCTCCAGTTTGGTTGGCAGAGTGGTGACCAGCTGGCCAATTGGACGGGGCTCTTTAATGTCACCGACAACCCAGCAGTGCAGAGCAGCAGTGACTCCAGTTCCAGGTACAAATCCAGACAAATGGCCAGGGAGGGGGGTAGCCCATCCTGTGGGGACCCTGGAGTCTGTGCCCCATGGTCCACCCCCAGAGCTGCCCTCCAGGGAGGGGCAGCTTGATCTGCTGGCTCATAGCAAGATCATTTGGGGATCCTCCTGTCTCGTTACCCCAGGGGTGAGTGGATGTGAAGGCTGAGGAGTAGGACCCACGCCCAACAATGTAGGGACTCATTGGCCCTGGGGTATCTGGGTCTCAAGCCTCCATCTGAGGGTGGGAGCCAAGGCTATGTCCCTGTAGCATGGATTGGGACATCAGCTGGCAGGTGTTGGCAGGGTGTGTGTGGCATCAGGGATGGGTGTTGGGCTAGGGTCCCCTGCTCCTCTGAAGTCCACTGGCTGGGCAGAGACACTTCAGGGCAGTGCTGAACTGTGACGTCCGTGCTGTCATGGAGTGTTTCCTCTTGATCTCAGTGTTAGAAGCTCATGTCAGTAACCGAGGGCACTCTGCAGACTCAGGAGCGGAAGCCCAGCAAGATTGTTGAGCAAGTGCAGGTGGAACATCCTCGGGCGGGCACAGTCCTTGCAGGGAGGGATTATGGGGGATTTCCTGAGGAGGTAGGATGCTGTCTCAGCTGGGAGCCGGGTGTGGCTGGAACCTGCCAGCTGAATGCTTCCAGGGGCCGATGGAGGTGTTTGGTTCTTTTTGATTCTTGTATTCCTAAGTATAGGCTCTCAGAGCCACTGCCCTGGGAAGAAGCCTGAGTTTCCCACACAGTTAATTTTGACACCCAAACATGAAATTGACCCTGCAGAAGCTGAGTTTTTCGGAGATTTCTGGTAGGTATGCGTTTGTTCAATGCATTGAACAAGTAAAGAAGTGGTGGCAATGTCAGAAACCAGGCAGGCAGATGCCCACAGGCAGGACTGAGGTGTGGGGATGCCATGGTGAGGGCTCCTGGGTCTGATGCTGGCTTCTTGGGACCACAGTTCTTCCTGTGTATGGCCAGCTGCGTGGCCCTTGGGATGTCACAAGGAGGGTGAACAGTCCATGGTTATCCTTGAAATGTTGAGCTTGCACACTGGCCCGTCTGCCGTGTGTTCCACCTGCAGAGATGGACAGTGGCCTGGGGAAGTGAGCAGCTGTCCATCTTCTGGGGGAGCCACCTGGGAGAGGCTTGAGGGGCCTTGGCTGGAAATGCTGGAGGGAGCAGGAAGGACAGGCCCCTGGGAGGCTGTTTCTGGACAGACGTCCCCAGTCAGTGGCTGAAGTCATTGAATGGACTCTGTCCCTTACTCCTCCTGGGCCAGTATCCTCCTCCCCCTCCTCCTCAGTATCGCCTCGCTCCCCCTTTTCCCTGTCTCTGTACCCATCATCTGTTCTTGGCCCGTCTTTCATTTGCCTTCCCTTTGTCATCTCCCCTGTTCTTTATTTTCTCTTCCTCTCTTTCTGTCTTGAGGACTCGGGTCAGTCTCCCCTTTCCTAAACACTGGGATCCCTCAGGGGCCGTGATACCACTGTCCCTGTCAGTTAGGTTTTGGAATTCGAGTGCCCTTTATCCAAGGTCATGACTGGCTGAGTTGACTTCCTTTTGGAGAGCAGCCACTTGACCAAGAATTCCCTTAGCCACAGAATAAATGTCATTTCAAGTTTCCCTGGGACAGTTCCAATTCCAATCTCAGTTTCTAGTTAACCCCCAAAGGACTGCAGCATGCTCAGCTCTCCTGTGAGACATGGTGGTTCGTGTCATTAAAAACTGAGCTGGTAGTGCCTCAATTCACAATAACTGAGCTATGAGATGAATGGATAAAGAAAATGTGGTACATATACACAATGGAATATTACTCAGTATTAAAAGAGAATAAAGTTATGGCATTTGCAGGGAAATGGATGGTACTGGAGACTACCATGCTAAGTGAAATAAGCCAATTCCCCCAAATCAAAGGCCAAATGTTGTCTCTGATGTGCTGATGCTAATACACATTAAAGGTTGGGGGAGGGAAGACTAGAAGTTCATTGGATTAAACAAAAGGGAATGAAGGGAAGGGGAGGGAAGATGGGAATAGGAAAGAGACTAGAATGAATTGGACATAACTTTTCTATGTTCATATATGCACACATGACCAGTGTAACTCCACATCATGTTTCATCCCAAGAATGAGAAGTTATACTCCATGTATATCCAGTATGACAAAATGCACTCTATTGTCATGTACAACTATAAAGAACAAATTAAACAAAAGAATAGAGGGCTGGGGTTGTGGCTCTGTGGCCAAGCACTTGCCTAGCGTGTGTGAGGCACTGGGTTCCATCCTCAGTACCACATAAAAGTAAATAAAATAAAAGTATTGTGTTCATCTATAATTAAAAAAAAAGAATAAAAGAAAAAAAAATAAACTGAGCCGGATGTGGGAGAATTTTTTTCCCCCTTGGTGAGCAAGCAGCTTGTTCTTCTTTAAAATGGGTCGCTTAGCTCCTGGCAGCCAATCAGCAGGGCCGGGGGAGGACCTAAGCAGGACACAGTGTACAGCATCCTGATGAGCGGCCCTCCACGTCTGGAGCCGGGAATGCTCTCCGTGGCATTATCCAGCTATTGAATAATTCAGTGCCTGCCATATTTTGCTATCTATAGTTGTGTAGGGTGTCGACGTGTGGGACAACCTGTTATCATTTATTATTAACAGGGTTGGAAAGGAAGTCAGAATCTACCAAATATAACCAGGGGAAAAAAAGGGGCAGAACAGCAAAGGATTAATGTACTGTTGGCTCAAGCAGGAGCCAGAGAAGGAACCAGCCCAAACGACCAGTCTGGAAGACTCCAAACAGGACCACAAAGAAAATCCAGACTGAGCTCAAAAAGGCCCTGGTCAGATCTTCTCACTGGATACATGCTGGGGAGGTCCAGACGGAACTGGAAAGTGTGTGAGTTATAAAATCACATGAACATACAGCTCGATGAAGTTCAAGTCTAAGTCTGTGAACTATTAGCCACTAAGCAGCCTCAGGGGAACTGTTTTAATGAGCAGATAGGAATGCTTTTTAATCAGCGTGGGTTTTATTTAAATGAGTACTTTGAATAAGTAGGAAGGTCTTTCTTGTCTTGTTTAAATTATGAGCTACTGGTTCCATGTCCCCAGCTCGATACTGATTTTGCTTCTTTGAGTTCTCAGCACCTTTTATGGTGTCTACTCCGTGCCCGGTGTTAATTGAATAAAAGAACAAAGTATGCAGAGAAGTGGTAAAGGGTATTGGTAAGATTGCAAACTTCAACCTCAGTGCTACCAAATCTTCCCTTAGAGATTTATTCCTTTGGATTCAACCTTGCTGTCTCCTCGAATGGTCTTGGGAAAGTCACCACCAGAAAGGGTTTGGAAGCACTTTGGATGCATAAACTCAGTCACAGGTTGGAATTATCAGAGCATTTTCTCTTGGGAAGAGCAGATGACAGGGCAGCCTGAGGGTTCTGAGCCCCAGGGTAGAAAAACGGGGAGACTGAAAGTTGTAAAGAAAGTAGAAAGGAAGCTGAGCACAGTGATGCATGCCTATAATCACAGCAACTCAGGAGGCTGAGGCAGGAGGATCATAGTGAGACCTGGTCTTTAAATTAAAATAAAAGGGCTGGGGATGTAGCTCAGTGGTAGAGTGCCCTGGGTTCAATCTCCTACGCAAAAACAAAAACAAAAATATAAGCAAAAAAGGAGGCAAGAAGGCGGTGGATTGTTTACTTCTGTGATGATGAGAAACCTCCCCAACACCTCCCCTCAGGCACGGCATTTCTGGGAGGAGAGGCAGAGTACTCGTCCTACCCTAAGCCTAACCCTAACCCTATGGGGCCAGCTCTCCGCCCTGGTCCCTGCTCCACACCCTGGTCCTGTCTTCCTGCCAATATACACCTCCTGCCCCACCTCCTCCTGCAAGCCCTCTGTGATGGCCCAGCCTGCCTGAGCCCTTTCATTCTACATTCTGTGAGATGCGTCTGCTTTCAGGGCAGTGCCTTTCATTACACAGGGACAACTCTCTCACAAGTGTGAGGTGCCTTTCTGTGTTTGTTGAGGCACCTGCAAATCCCTAGGAGCCTCTCCCCTTGGAGACCTGGCTGCACCATCTGTGCATATATCCCCAGGGCCCTCCCGATGCTCAGCCCCGGGTGCAGCCCAGTGGCAGCCTGGTGGGCTAGCCTCTTCGGTGCCTTTTCCCTGGCTGCACACCAGCCTTGGTCCTCCGGCCTTTCCACTGGGACATGATGGCCAGGGGAGGAGAGGAGAAGCAAACCAAGGGAGCCTTCCCACTGAGGTCTGGAGCAGAGCTGGCTGGGTGGCCTGTGGCGGGCACTCCCTTCTCCCTGTACTGCTAGGCTTCTGGGTTGGAGTGTGGAGTATAGCTCCAGCCCCAGGAAAAAAGAGAAGCCCCTGACCCATGACAGAGAGAGCTATCCCTGCAGAAGAGTGAGCCGAGTGAGCGTGGAGGAGATTGCCTTCTGTGTGTCTTGCAAGTCCCGCATGTCATGGGGTTTGGAATTGTCATATTTTAGAGCACCTTATTATGCTGTAGTGAATTGTTCCCTAATTGTTTCAAGACAGTATATAATTAGATAATAAATTATGTGGCATAGTGGGCGAGCGTTCTTGGAACCTAGGTGGAAATCAAGATGCTTTGGTGAGGAAGCAAGACTCGGCTGAGCCCTTGAGGGTCAGCATGCAGCCTGGTGTCATGGGGCTGATGGTGTGCCCGGCGCTTGCTGGGAGCCTTCTGTGCATTGCCACATTTAATCCTCACCCTCAAGCCTTTGAGATGGGCACTCCCACCATCCCCACATTATAGGTGAGGAAACGGAGTCATGGAAAGGTGACATCACCTCTGGGGGGTGGGTGGTCCAGGCAGAGCACACAGGTGTGGTGTGACTCTGAAGTTCCAGCTCCTGGGCTGCGGACAGGTCATCCATGCTGGGGTGAGTGCCGCCTGCCTTCCCTTTTCAAGATCTCTCTTCCCTTCTGTTCTTGTCCTCAGCTCCTGGCAGTGAGACAGAATAAAAAAGGACGTGAGTGGGTCATTGCTCTGCGCATTTCCTCTCATCCTTGGGCTGCAGCAGTGGCTTTGGGCATGATGCTCCTGTTTCTCTCGCTGCCCCTTCCTAGCTCTCCCCACCTTTCCTCCTCTGGGGCCTCCTCCCTTCCCCTCACCCACTCCTCTGGGGTTCTCTCTGGGAGACCCCGATCCCTGAACTCAGGTGCTTTCCTGACGCTGCTCCCAAAAGATGCTTCCTGCCCTCTACCTTCAACTAGGGATTCTGCGCTTCAAAGAGAAGCCCTTGGGATGCGGGGAAATGTCAGGTGTTGCAGTGACGTGGGTGCAGGATGACTTAGGGTGAGCCTTTCTGGTCAGTTTCCCCTTTTGTGGAAAAGGAAGGGGGAAGTGGAAGGTGGTTGGTGGCACTCTTGGGCTCCATCCAGCTGGCAAGAATTTGGAAAGTCAGGTTAGCAAAATCTTCTAGTGTGGATGCTGGTGAAACAAACAAAACAAAAATAGTTCCATACTTTTAACCGACTTAAAAAAAATCACTAATTTTGGAGTCATGCAGCTATGAAATATATTATTAGTCTCCCCTGCTATAGAGAGCTGCTCTGACGGGTAGGTCGTAATGATGTTGGTTGCATGAGTTACTTTTAAGAGACTTGAAGGCTGATTCTCGAAAAACCGCCATCTCTTCTCTTGGGCCTGTGCAGGTGTCCCATAGGTAATCTCTTGACATTAGGAAGCCAGAACCCCTCAGATCATGGGAACACCATTTTCTGAACATGCGTCTGATGAAGAACCGTGAAGGTCGTGTGTGCACAGACCCCTGGTGACTTTACCTCTTATTGCTTTACATCACACTGCTTCTTTATCCCATAAAAATCTAGTGAGGAGGGTGGAGCATCATTCTCACCCCAACCCCTCCTGACCCGGGTCAGCTCCCCATGCTCCTCCCTTTAGCCGCCATGACCACATCTCCCTCCTCCCCTGCCTCACAGACCCTGTACTTCCTTCCTCTTCGCTTGTCTTCCAGAAGTTCATTCCAGTCCCTGGGAAAGGTAGGAGGCCTTGCAAAGCAGTGAGGATGGAAAGAAATGGAGAATAGGAAGAAAAGGGGCTGGAATTGGGAGGAGAAGATCCAGCATCTACCTGGTAATCGGATGGGGGACACTTGCAAGTTTCCCCTAGAAGCTAGAAGTTCTAGAAGCATCTAGAGGCTCTATGTAGCCACGCATAGCCCTGCATCCTCCTTAATCCATGGCTACCAAGACTGTGCTGGGATGGAAGCTGATGGGGTATCACGAGCAGGCAGAGACGGGGCCTGCACACAGGACCCTGGTCAGAATGTGCTCCATGTGTCGAAGGTAAACTTCCCTCCCTGATGCTCGGCTGGCTCTTGGGTCTGCCCTTTAGAGCCTCGAAGAACATGTTAAGTCCATCCCTTCCTTCTCCTCCACATCGATCACCTCCTGTCCCCTCCACTCCCCCAGGACCAGCTCTACCCCCCTTGGTTTTCCTCACTGCGACTTCACGGTCAGCATCATGGCAGCTGCCTTGCCTCGGCTCCTGCCCACAGAGTGTACCTGCCCCTGTCAAGACCACTGGTGGCCCCCTAGTTGTCTCACTGGTCTTGCCCTCCCTCCCTCCTGGACCCATCAGCTCTGATGGACTTGCCCTTCTGGCCCGGGGGACGCTCTCTGCTCGGAGCATCCTTGTCTGGGTTTTCCTCCCACCTGCCCTCCTTCCTTGTGTCTCTCTGCCACCATGGGCTGACCTCAGGCCTGCCCTGGGCCCCCTTGTTCATTCTGTCTGCTCGCTGTCCCCGACCTCTCAAGGAGTCCTTAACCTTTGACTCAGGAACGCATATCTCCAGCCCCATCCTTTGCTCCGGGCCACAGGTGTGCGTATCTGACTGCCTACTTGTGATCTCCCCTCGGATGTCTGAGATCACGGCGACTTCACATGGCTCACTCCTCTTTCCATTCATGCCCCAAAGCTTTTCTCTCCCCTTCCATAAATGGCTCCATCCCTTACCTAGTTGTTCAAGCTAAAGTTGTTGGTTACTATAGACACCCCCCCCCCATCGACTTGCTGAATCTTAGCCATCAGCACATCCCACCGGTCCAGTCCCTCAGCTACCTGTTAGGTCTGTCTCTTCCCCCACCTGCTCAGCCTCTGGGAACAGCACCAGGTCCCCCACTCTGCACCATTTCCTTTCCTCTTTCCCAAGTCCCTTGGCAGACAGTGTGACCTTTTAAATCAGATGTTGGTGTTCCCTGTTTGAATGCTCTGAGCACCTCGATACTGGGTGGCCCACAGGCCCAGTGTGTCCCAGGCCTGCTGCCTTCTTACCTCACCACCCCTCTTGGAGGTCACAATACTCTGGGTCAGTGACCACTGACTGGTACCCCACCACCATACTGGCTGCTGGTGGGCCTGCAGCTGGCCACCTCTGGCTGTCCTCAGAGCATCTGTGTTCACTCACTGTTCCCTCTTTGGGAAGTTCTTCCCACACATCTGCATAAGGCTCCACCCTTTGCATTATGTCCCCTGTCCAAGGAGACCTTCCTTGACTGGCCCCAGGTGTCCTCTGTCTCCTACCCTGCTAGCTATTTGTTTGTTTATTTATTTATTTATTTTGATAGATTTCATCGTCGCTGTCACTCTGTTATCAATATCTGATCCTCACCCCTTGGCAGTGTCCAGGAGGGAGCGGTTTTGAATGCCTAGATCATCACTGGGTTCTGCCTAAAACCATGCCTGGATTTAGTAGAAGTTCAGTGAACCTTCAGTGGGTGGAAGAGAAGAGCAACTCCCAGCCTGTGGAAGGGCCCTAATGGGCCATGGAGGGATGGCTTGTTGTTTAGCGTAAGGAGGGCTGGGGGAGAAGTGACCAGAGGAAGCCAACCAGTTGACCTCTGAGGGATGAGTAGGAAGATGCACTGAAGTTCTAGACAGAGAAACCAGCCCGAATGAGACAGGAAGACCAAGTCATGACCCTGCTCTGCGGAGGAGATGAAGAGGAGGCCTTGTCTTGGGCACTGAAGGAGGGTCATAGCCCACTAGGAACATTAGGGACACTGACCAGTGCTGATGTAGACACACTGAGTACCAGTGCTGATGTAGACACACTGAGTATCCCAGGCTCTTGAGCTGAATTTCATAGAAGGGAGCTTTCAGACCTTCCTGGTGTGGCCCGAGAAATAAGATCACTGCTTTGATACCTTTGCAGGGGATGAGCTGGACCCTGTGCCTCAGCCCTGCAGAACCTTTGGCTGGGGGGAAGGAGGGGTGAGTCTGGGCATGTGGCTTTGTCCTACTACCTGCCAGAAATGACAGCCCAGGCTTGGTGGAAGGTGCCCACAGGAGCAGATTGACCTCAGCACTGCTGGGGCTGCACTAAAGCATCAGGCCTTTTGCTTTTAGACTTTGATGTCTCAAATTCCTGGGGACAGGTGAGGGATTGTGGCCCAGAGAGGGCAGGGGAAGCCTGAGACTGCCGAGCAGGGCCATGGTCCACCCAGGGTCCCAGCCAGGGCTCTTCACTGCCACTGTGGTGCCTCCTGCTGGCTTCTCTCTGGACTGTCTGGGAAGAAGCTGCTGCCCTGGAATTGCCGGGCCTCTAGAATTGCCGGGCCTCTGTCTTCCGGCTCTGGTTTCTGAGCATTTGCTGATGGGTAGTGTACCAGCTCCAGCCGGCAGCTGTTCTGGCTCTAGAAATAGCACTGAGCCCTCTGAAGGGCTATTATCCCTGGGAGGGGGAGGGGGCTGTATGCTGAGAAAACCCGAGAGAACTGTGCTGTCAGAGTCAGGGAGAGGGGCACGTTGAAGTCATTAAGACCCAGGATTCCCAGATCTCATGAACCTGAGGTTTCTTTTCTAGTGCCACCATTTATTACCTGAAGGATCTTGGGCAAGTTACCCTAGCCCTTGCAGCCTAAGTTTCTGGTATAAACTGGAGGAACTAATACCTGTCTCATGGGGATGTTGGGAGAATGAAATGAACAAGGTTGAAGTCCAGGATCAGGCTGTTTCATACCGTTACTCAGGATGGGCACGGCACAAAGACTCCCAATCAAGGAGTCAGGTTGCGCTGAAATCAGCTCATTTTTACTTGACCAGCCAGCCACAAGCCTGGCATGTGGCTTAATTAATCTAGAGAAAACGGTGCTTTCTTCCAGATTTGCCCAAAGGGGCCACGTGAGCTAGTTAGTGGTGATCCTACCAGTGTGAAATAAACTACTCTGAGGTTCTTTAAGACTCTGCCCCAGGCTAAAGGAGCCCAGGGATTCAGACTGCTGAGCTGGGTAGCTTCTCTGCTCCTGGGGCTGGAGGAGAGGCCTAGCAGGCCTCTTGTATGACACAGGGATGGCCCTGGCTCCTGTGCTCTGTGGAGTGTCTGTGGGTTGGACAGAGGTGTTCTAGAAAGCTGAGTGTGTGCGTCTCATCTGTACCAGTCAGTGGTCGCTGGCCCAGAGTATTGTGACCTCCAAGGATGAAGACACCACTCTGGAGAGACTCTGAAGGGGAATCAGGCTAGCAGAGGAGACCACGGGGCAGGTTGTGGGGAAGGGCTGGTGGGAATACAGGGCCAGGCTCTCTGTGTGCTGGAACCCAAGTTTGAGTGGGATGAGGGGACTCATGCCCAGGGCCACCGGGGGCCCTTCTGTAGGCCTTCCCATTTGGCCTATGGGACAAATATTCCCATTTGGCCACAGGGACGGGGCAGATTGGCTGTGGCCTAGCACCAACCTCAGATTTGGCTACTGGAAGCCAAATGCCATTGGAGTGGAGCTGGGCTCCCTCTAAAGCAGATGGTAGAACTGTGAGAGGCGCATAGGTGATGCTGGGTCCCCTCCCCTTTGAGCTGGGTGGAGGTGGCTTTGCATAACTGAGAGGAGAGAATGTGATTCACTGTCTTGTGAAGTGTGTGTAGTGTAAAGGTTAGAGAGACTCCTCACAGGCCAAAGGGAAGCTTGAGACGTTCAGAGGGAGGCCAGGACTTAAAAGCAAAGACCATCTATTAGGGCTTTCTGGTTGTAAAAGAATCATAACCCAGAAATTTATAAAAATATGGAAAAGCATTTTTACAAGAAACCCCGTCACCGTCCCACCGTGGCTCTTTTGGCTCGGTCACCTCCGGTGGCATGCGTGATTTATTTTGGAGACGACAGTGCTGTACCTTGCATTTTGCACTCAACACTATCACGTGAGCATCTTCCCACGTCAGCACACAAATCCCCCTGAGTGTGCATGGTTTCCTGAGTCTCCATGGTGCTCTGTATCCGGGCCACACGGGGGGTTGCCTGGCTTCATTCAGACCCCATCCTCGGGCGTCCTAGCAGAGGCAGAAGCTCAGCTGACCCAGCGTGGCAGTACTTCTCTGAATAATTTCTTTGGCTCTGGGGTGTTGGGGCTGTCCCTAGTTTTGTGTTTCCCAAGTCAGTCATCTTTAGAGACCAAGCGGGGAGTACAGCCCACAGTGGGGAAGCCCAGGGGAACAGAGAGGGAAGGAGCTGGGAGAAGCGAGGCTCCAGACGCAGGGAGCAGCATTGATGGCTTGGCTGAGGTACCACACAGAGAGTTTTCAGGGGACCTATCATTGCATTGGTCCACTGGGGTAAGATGCAGATACAGAAATGACTCATGAGGGAAGGGGTTTTAAGCCACAAGCAGGGCTGCCCGGGAAGCCCGAGGGCCAGTCAGGAAGCAGAGGAAGCTCAGGGTAAATGCAGGCAGGAGCCTTCCAGCTGCAGGAACTGGTGAGGCAAAGTTTGCAGGCTTAGGATTGGCTCGTTTGAATAGTATCTTTGGCTCTGGGGAGTTGGGGCTGTCCTTTGTTGCCCAGTACCTGGCCCTGGGGTGGTTGGAGCAGGGGACTAGTGGTCCAGAGTGTGGAAGTCCCCCGAGGAGGTGGCTGGGGCCTGGCTGAGCGTGGGTTGGCTAGCATGTGAAAGGTGCACTGTTACTGTCTCTAGAAACTGACCATCCCTGGCAAGACCCCAGGGTCAAAGCATTGGAAACCCATGGTTAATGCATGGAGTCTGCAGCAGAGACAGGGTGATCAAGGACGTCCCCAGGCCCAGGCAGAACTTGGCATGAGCTTCATCCGCAGGGTGGCAGGGGGAGGTTTACTAATCTTGGCAGAAGGGGGTGTTGCCAGAGCAGATGGTAGAGAAGCTTCCTGAGTTATTCATCCCTGACTCAGCTCTGCCGTCAACCTGCCGAGGGACTGGAAGCGAGTCTCTGACTTCCTGGGCCTCCCTGTGGCATCTGCTGGCAGCACTTGCCCTTTAGTGGCAGGAGAAAGGGGACAGCACGTGTGAGCATTTCTTGGCACTTCTTGAAAGCCAGTCCCTCCCAGAAATGCTCCCCAGTGTCTTAGCTCAGCTCTGCTGCTCGTGCCCGGCACTGTCTTTGCTGATTTTTCAAATGAGGAAATTGAGGCTCAGGGAAGGCACAGGTCTGACGTTAGCTTGCTTAGTTGGACGCCAGGGCTGTGGCGATCTTAGTGTCATTGTTTGGGCTGCTGTAACAAAATACCATAGACTGGGTGGCTTACAGACAATAGGAGTTAACTCCTCACAGTTCTGGAGGCTGAAAGTCCAAGATTCAGGTGAGGGCCTACTTCCTGGTTCTTAGGCAGTACCTTGTCACCTTGATCTCACCTGATGAAAGGGGAAAAGGTTTACCTTGGGCCTCTTTTATAAGGATAGTAGCTCCAGCCATGAGGCCTCTGCTCCCCTCACCTCCCAAAGGGCTTACCTTCTAAAACCATCATCTTGGGGGACACAAACATTCAGACCATAGCCGTGGCTAATGAGGGACGTAAGTCCAGTTTTAAAGCCTCCTCACCTAAGAGCCACCAGACATATGGCACAAGACTGGAGCCATTCTACTGGCTGATTTGGTATACAGGTGATATTGGGGATTCAAGAGAAATGGGGACCCGGTGGGGGCTGGGTGAAAGGAGGCAGGGCAGCATTCTGGAGGATATGGGAAGCTGGCTGGTCAGAGGGAAGATGTCTAGTTCAAACAGATTGCTTTAGGGAGAAGACACAGAGAGGGGAGGTGATTTACCCAAAGTCACACAACTGGCTTGCAGCCACAGCCGAGATGTGTCTGCAAATCTCCCAGCTCCCTGAGGATTCTAGAATGAGTCTCCTAATTATCTCCAGCATCATTTGCATCTAGAGCTTTTCTTAGCAGCAGGCGGGGATCATGGTTCCAAAGGCTTAGTGACACCGGCTCTGGTTGCAAAAGACGGTGCTTGTGACAAGACACCAGACCTCACTTACTGCTGTGTGCCTGGAAAACTACTTGAGACAGAATCAAGGTCATGGACTGGCTTGGTGGCCCCAGGTTGACCCCTTGTTCTCAGTTGCAGACAATAGAATCCATGTCAGTTAGTTAAAGGAGAAAGGGATTTATTAAGGGGACAGCTGGCTCCAAATCTTTGAGAAAACTGAAAAATGGTTCACTTCCAGGAATGGAAAACTGCATTATAACAAGGGGCCATCATGAAAACTGCTGCCCCTGATAAAATCACAAAGGTGCTGCCACTGCTGCAGTTTCCAAGAGCCATGCCACCTGGACCGCATTCTCCACCAACAAAACCATGCCTTGCTACTCTCCCTCTTCTCCTGTAACAGCTCTGAAAAAGGTCTTGTGCAAATGCTTCTGATTGGTTGAACCTAAATTGCACCCAGGGCCCTAGCTGCAAAGGAGTCTGGGAAATGTAGTCTTTAGCTTTCCTGCCTCTGTAGTACAGAAGGTAGAGAGAGAAATAAAGACATAGTCCTTGTGTTTGAGAGACTTGGCATTTGGAAGGACCACGGTATTAAAAAAAAAAATTGCAATACAATGTTATTTGCTCTAATTTAGAGACAGTAGACTGGGAGCCCATGGGTCAGGGTAAGAGAAGGCTTCCTGAAAGTATGAGCATTTGAGCTAGGTGTGGAAGAATCAGTATGAATTTGCCAGTTGAGAAATACAGAGAAGGGAGTTCTAAAACACAAGGGAACCAGAGAGGAAAAAGTGAGTTTGATATAGACCCTGTGGTGGCTGTGACCTGTCTGGAGCCAGCTGGTACTGAAAAAGCTCAACTCTTCTGCAGGTGGCCCTTGGCCAAGCCCCAGGCACTTAACATTGTGACCTGGGCCTCTGTTTAGCCTCAGTCCCTAGTTCTTATTAGTTCTTTTTTTTTTTTTTTTTTTTTTTGTACTGAGGCTTGGACCCAAGGGTGCTTAACCACTGAGCCACATCCTCAGCCCTTTTTTGTATTTTATTTAGAAACAGGGTCTTGTTGAATTGCTTAGGGTCTCACTTAGTTGATGAGTCTGTCTTTGAACTCATGATCCTCCTGCCTCAGCCTCCTGAGCCACTGGGATTACAGGTATGTGCCACCTTTCCCAGCTCTAGTTCTTATTAGCTCATATAAGAACAAGCAGCCAATTTGTTGTATAAAATGTTTTTATATTAAAAATATCATTTAACATTACTTAAGGGCTGGGGATGTGGTTCAAGTGGTAGCATGCTCGCCTGGCATGCGTGAGGCACTGGGTTTGATCCTCAGCACCACATAAAAATAAAATAAAGATGTTGTGTCCACCTTAAAAAACTAAAAAAAAAAATTAAAAACCCCCCAAAACAATACTTAAATACATAATTATGTTACTTAAATTAACTATTAGAGTATATTAAAATTAAGAATATATGAATAAAACTTTAAAATATTAAATACGGAAATTATATTTTTAAATTATTTAAAACACAAATATTTTAAAAAGAAGTCACTATGTCAGGTAAAATATTTTGGGATTTCCAAGGCAGCCTGTCCGTGTTTGTACATGGCAGTTCTGTGTATAAGGGGACACGTGGAGTGACAGCCACCTTGTGCTGGGAGGTGCTGGGACTTGCTGGAGGGAGGCTTGCATTTCCGTCCCTGGTCCTGGCCCTGCAACAGCCCGGGGTGCCTCTTTCACTTTTGGTTCTTGAGGGCTCCCTGTCATGAGGCCACTGTCCCCACATTTATGTGGTGTGGCTCTGCAAGCATCTGGATTGGTGTCAAAGCTATGCTGGAATTCAGCCCTCCTGGCTCAGTCTGCCCCAGCTGTTGAGCCACCTCTGGAAAGAGAGAAGCTGTGGAGAGGGGTGACTCTGTCCCAAGAGGTGCTTCTATCCCATGGCTGTGGAAGATCTGAGGGCCTTCCAGGGACACCAGCTGTCTGTGTAGCTGGTGGGGGCAAGAGCAGCCTTGAATCAACACGCAGGTTCATGCCCCAGCTCTGCTCCCTGCCAACCAGGTGACACTGGGGAAGAGGTAACTCCCGGGGCCTGTGTGGTTTGCTTGTGCTGATCATTTCTTTCACAGTCTAGTGGGAAAGATTAAAAGTCAACACTTGGCCTGGCAGCGCCCTGTGGCCAGGCTTCAGTAAATGCTGGCTGAAATGGGTGGTATCATTCTGCATGAACCTGACAGAGGGACCCTGTGGTGGCTGTGACCTGTCTGGAGCCAGCTGGTGCAGAAAAAGCTCAACTCCTCTGCAGGTGGCCCTCGGCCAAGCCCCAGGCCTTCCCTGCACTTACAGTGTGACCTGGGCCTCTGTTTAGCCTCAGTGCTCTCAGCTGCCAAATGGGGAGAAAGAAACATCAGCCTCAGCTGCCTCACAGAGGGGAGCACACAGGGAGTGAGTGGAGAGAAATGGAAATGCTCCCTAAGTAGGAAAAAAGCAGCAGATGTCAGCCCTGCCTGTGGCTGTGTTGTAGGACATTGTCCCAGAAGAAAGAGAGGGAAATGGGGTCAGGAAGGGCGGGTGGCTGCTGGCGGGCTGGCTCCCTGCCGGCCTCCCAGGGCTGCTGCCTCCTGGCCTCTCATCTTTGTCTGATCACAGTACATAGCGTCTGTCCTCTAGTTCCTCCTTCACAGCCACAAACTTGGAACCAGACCTACTGCTGCATGTCACAGCTGAAATGGGTTCTTGCTACTGTAGGTGCTTCTAGTCCCAGGGCAGCAGAGTGCTCTCAGTAACTGACCACCCTCCTGGAACCCACCCCCAGCCCCAGGTCCTCTGCTGCGGTGGGGCTGATTGGCTTTATTTGTTTGACTGGGACAGACCCCCCCACTCCCCCACCCCCACCTCCCTTGGCAGTCCTTGGCAGGCCCTGAAAGCCTGGCTTGCTTCTCTGTGTAACCTCTGTCCCTGTTGGTCCTCAGGTACTTTGAATTTTACGAGGGGCCTTTTGAATATAACTCCACAAGATGCCTGGAGCTGAGGCACGAGATACTGGAAGTGAAGGTGCTCTCCATGTGAGTGTGGCGGCCGGGTGGAGGGCGCAGGGGCATGCGGAGCTGGGGCAGGGCTGGGACCGGGTGGGGACAAGGACAAGGATGTAAGGGAACAGGAAACGCAAGGCAGATCGTGGGGAGAAAAAAATTAGGTCTCCTTTCCCGAGGGCACGGGCGTTCGGAAGGCCCTGGAAGCTGGTTCTTGACAGAAGGCCAGGTTGGCAGGGTCACCTCTGATGACTTGGGTGTTAAGTCCTCAGCTCAGTTACAGCTTCTTGATTATCATCGCCGGGCTCTCGTGTAGAAATAGAAGAGGGCACCTGAGTGACTCACCTGAAATTCGGCACTTTGCACCGCAGGGTCAGGCCCTCTTACTGTCGCATTTTTAAATTGAAGTTTCATTAAGTCTTGATTTTTCAATTATTTAAACGATTCAACCTTCAAGGTCCAGGGAAATGCTGCCCTCTCCCAGCCATGAGCCCTCCCCAGGGGCCCGGCGTGCCTTGTGCATCATCTGGGGCACATTGGGGCATGAATAAGCACCTGTGTGGGGGACTCTTGAAGTCTGCCTTCTTACACAAATAGTGAAAGAACTGAGCTCCTCTTCCCCCTCCACAATATGTCATCTAGTACCCTCTTATAGCTGTGCAGGAAGCACATTAAATGGTGGCCGTTTCAGTGTGCATGTGCCCGCCTGCCATGAATTCAGCAGAGACCCACTTAGAGGAGTTTGTGTCGTATTAATCATGGCAGAATCTGTTTTTATTTATAAACAGTTACTTCTGATGATGGGGTGGATGTTCAAGGCAGGCAGTGTTGGGTTCTCACATGGACTCAAGGTCCCCTGACATGACTTCAGCTACCTTGGCCCATGATGGCACATAGATAGGAGCCAGGCCTCCTTTACCCATTTGATGTGATTCCAGCTAGTGGGGTGATGGGGAGAGCATGGCCTTTGAGCTCAGGCAGACCCAAGTCCAAAGCCAACTCTGAGCCTTATCAGCTCTGTACTGTTGGGCAAACTTACTTAACCTCTCTGAGTCTTTCCTTGCCTATAAAAATGGGGACAGCATTACCTACCTTTTAAGGGTTGCTATTGATCCGCTGAAATGACGAACATGGAAATGGGTGACCTAGAGGTCTGCATGCACAGCGGCTCACATGATAGGTGCTCAGCCGATGCTCATGCTTGACTTGCTTTCTTCTACCTCTTTCCTTCCTCCACTTCCTGTGAAGTCAGCAGCAGTTTTTCTGGCCTGTCCTGTACAGAGACTGTGCTATCAACAAATGCCTTAGACAATCAACTTGTAAAGAGAAAAGGTTTACTTTAGCTCACAGAATTGGAGGTCTCAGTTCGTGGCCAAGTGGCTCCTTTGCTTTGGAGCCTGTGGTGAGCCAGCACAGTGTGGCAGGAGCTGTGTTGAGTAAAGCCGCTCACTCAGGGGTTCCACTTCCCCTCTGAGGGCACACCTCCAATGACCTAGAGACCTCTCACTAGGCCCCACCTCTTCAGTGCTCCACAGGGTGCGCCTCCTGATAGCACCACTCTGCTGAACAAGCCTTCAACACACGGGCCTTGGGGGACATTTCAGATGCAAACTATAAACTAAGCCCAAGAGTGAGGCCAAATGTCCAGCTGGCATTGTCTGGGTCAGTTATGGCCCCTGCATTCACCAGTTGTCTGTGTTCCCTCCCTGGGGTGAATCCCTGAGGTAATCCACCTCTCATGAGTGCCACCCACCCCTGTGGTCCCACCCCTCATGGGGGAAACAGACGTGAATAACTAAGAGGTGACAGTGAATTGGACCTGGGCTAGTGTGAGAAGGGGCTGGCCAGGCAAGGCCTCCCCGAAGGGGATGGCACAGGTGCAGCCTGCATGGTGATAGGTGCTAATTAGGTCAGGAGGTTCCTGGATGGAACATTTGTCTGAGGCCCTGGGCCAGGAGGGAGTCTGTGTCCCTGCCCTGAAGGACCAGGGCAGCTTGAGCGGTCAGCTGCGCAGCGGGAGGGGCCTGCCATGTGGACCCACACCTGGGATTTTGTCTTTATCCAGGGACCGTGGGTGCCCATGGCAGGGTTTAAGCAGGGCACAGGAGTTGTTTGGAAGCACTGTGCAGCAGCTATGATTTAGTGGCAAAGACCACCAGACTTCAGTCAGGGCCCGTGAGCAGAGAGCCCCTGTCTTTCCTCAGAATTCAAACATTTCAGGCCTTTGCACTTGGGTGGAAATCCAAAGCATATCTCAGTGTTTTCAAAGGGAACATAGTGAATTTTTAAATTATAAAACGTAAGTCTTTGCATGGCTACTCCGAGATCTGGACAGGAAAAGTGGAGAAACCCTATAAGCTGGCCGTCCTTCTCTGCAGATCTGTCCTTCCCCATGTGATTCCTATCTGCTGGTGTTGGTCCCTGCATCAGGCTTTAGGGACCTCTGTGACAGTTCCACAGACGAGGGACCTTAAACAACAGACACCGATTCCTCACAGTGCTTGACCCCGGGGGTGTGAGGGCATGGGGTCAGCAGGGCTGGCTTCCTTCATGGTCTCTCTCCTTGGCTGGCCAGTGGTCACCCTGTCCCCGTGTCCTCACATGGCTGACCCTTGGTCTGTGTCTTGCGTCCTCTCCTCTTCTTATAAGGACACCAGTCACATTGGAGTTCACCCTGATGACTTAATTTTGCCTTAATGACCTCTTTAAAGACCCTTTCTCCAAATACAGCCACACAGTGGGGTACTAGAGGTTATCGCTACAACTCATGGGTTGTGGAGGGACACAACTCAGCTAGTAACAGTCCCCATCACAGCTGATATTTGGGGACCAGATGAGAGATGACCTAGGCCCTCTGATTTGAGCCTAAGTGCAAATTTTATGGAGTGTGATGGACAGCCTTCTATTTCCCCACATCTGCCCACCTGCTGTCCCTGGTCATGGCTTTCACTAGGGGTGTCTGGTGGCATTTGTTCTCACATTTGCCTTTGGGGAACCTTCTCTAGTCCCCCAGGGCTGAGTTCCTGAGATAAGTAGCCATCCCAGGCGGTGACTGCAGGTCTAGCTGTGCCTTTCATGGCCTGTCTCTTCCACAGTAGCTGCTCTCTCTCTAGTTCCAAGCCCCGGGGGTCTGAGAGGAGAGGCGAAGCCCAGGCTACTCATGAAGCATCAGTGCGTGTGCCCAGGGGATGCCAGGGATCCGCAAGCCCCGTGCCTTCCTTCCTGAGCCTCCAAGCTGAGGGTCTTCCGGTCCTCCCTGGATGAAATCAGAGAAGCCCAGAGGCTGGCCTCTGATCTGAGCAGCTCTGACATCATCTGGGGACCCACAGGCTTTGCTGGGCTCCGGCTCAGCTCCATGACCTGGACTTATGAACGACTGGCCCCGAGTCATCGGGAAAAGGTCACGTCCCCATCTGTGGAGGGAGACTGCTGGACAGACACACTCATGTCCCTTCAGGCGCACACAATGTCAGCTGGTGCTGTCTGAGGAGACAGGGAGATCTGTGATTCATCTGGGTATAATTTTGATGCAAAATTGCTCAAATCGATGGCAAAAATCAGTCAACCAGAAAATTCCCACAAGAGAAACGCCTCACTCCCCGACACTGTCAGATGCAGGAGGAGTTATTCTGTGATGAATTGTTATGAAAATACATGGTTGCTAATTCTTGTTCAAGTTATTTATGCTTGATTTTAGTCATTCTAGTACTTCTTTATTTTTAAATAAAAATATTCAGTTGCTGCCTGCCCTCATATCCAGCTGGTGGCCATGCAGGAGAACCCTCAGCTGGCCTCTCCACTGCCCATGACCCATCCAGGGTCTGGGACTTGGTGCTGAGCTCAGTAATGAGGCCAGGAGAGAAGCTGGGAGCCACAGGCACTGGGCAGATGCCCGCCGTCTGGGCTGGGAGCTGCTTCATGCCCCTGGAAGCTGTCTCAGGGCAGCGTTCACAAGTCCACTGCACTGGGGCTCCTCGAGGGCAGCACCTGAGCCTAGGCAGCTCCGAGATCAACCTGCACAGGTCCAGGACACACCTAGGAAACGAATGAGTGGGTGAAGGAAGAGGGTGAGATCTGGTGCAAACAGGAGGCTGTGGAAGAAAAGGGGAGAACAAAGACGCATAATGAGATGATCATCTCAGCTCATGTGATCTCTGCCTCCTGCCCAAGAAACCTCCAGTGCACAGAGACTCACAAGAATAAAAAGTCCCAGTGCCCTGCAGCATGCCTTCTCACCCAAGCTACTCCTTCCGATTCTCAGCTGTCTCCTCTGGTGATGACCTCTCACTACCATGCACATGCTGTTCCCCGTCTTCACCGGTTCCATGCTTCAGTGGGTGAGGATTCTAGCCCTGGGGGACTAGAGAAGGTTCCTCAAAGGCAAATGTGAGTACAAACGCCACCAGATACCCCCAAAGAAAGCCATGACCAGGGACAGCAGGTGGGCAGATGTGGGGAAATAGGAGGCTGTCCATCACACTCCATAAAATTTGCACTTAGGCTCAAATCAGAGGGCCCAGGTTATCTCTCATCTGGTCCCCAGGCCCAGGCCCCTCCCAACACTTCCCCAGTTGAAGGGCGCTGTATTTGGGACATGGTTTGTGCCCCCAGGGTTCATATGTTGAAGCTTTGGACTTCAAAGAGGCAATATTGAGGCAGTGGAATTTTTTTAAAACTGGAGCCTAGTGGGAGATAGTTAAGCTAAATAAGTCTTTTCCTTAGAAGAACTAGCCTCAGGTATTTTGTTATAGCAACAGAAAATAGACTAATAGCCTTTGTAGTTCTTCTACGTAGAGATTACCTAAGTAATGACTTTCCCCCAGGATGTTGAAGACCTTCACCATCTTCTAGCACGTGGTTACATGAGAAGCATGAGAATGGCTGGTCCAGACTATCTGGTTTCTTTCTTTCTTTTTTGCCTCCTGGGATCTTGTTAGCTCAGGCCACTTCTGAATGTCCAATGACATTGTCCAGTTGAACCTCTTCATCTGAGCTCACGTCCAAACTCTTTATGTGTGTGTGTGTGTGTATGT